TACGAACAAAATAAATATATTGAAAAATATAAAAACAATAAAAAATTATACTTCAGAAGTTAATTTAGTATCAAAAACGTAAAATATTTGAGTAGCCCAAGACATAGCCAAAGATTGCAGCGCCACAGCACTGGCGAAAATTTAAATTTGCCGACTGGAATTCTTTCGGATAATCGACGCTCTACTGTATTTCTAATAACCTATTTCTATTTTTTAATATTAACAATTTTTTGGGGGTTGTGCCCATTAGCTCTGTCAGCTTCACCATTATTTATCTTTTCTAATAACTAAAATGAAATAATTTAAGAATTTTAATATGTTAGTCTTTGAAAAAGTTCAGATAAATTTACACTTTTACCTTAATTTAGAAAGTAGTTCATTGGTTTTATCAAAGTAGCTATAATTTCTATTGAATAAATTAAATGATTATAATATATATTAAAAAAATAATATCAAAAGATCTATGAAATTTAAGATTTTGTTTAAAATTCTGATTAAAAAAAAATTACTTTATAATAATTTTTGTTATTTTCATTTTTATGTAGGAAGAAAAGCAAGCATGGGCTATAAAGAAAACTGAATTCAAGGAAAAAATGGAAAGAAAGAATAAAGATTATATTAATGAAACAAATTTACTCAAGTATGATTTTTCATTTTACTAAAACGAATCATTTAGAAAATATTGGTTAGAATTTCAGACAAGTCAAAAGAAAAATTTTTTTTATAATAGTTGTTTTACATTAAAAAAATGATGATTGCCATTTTAAAGAATGTATCAAATGCTAATATGACCATATCTTAATTTGATGTTTTTTTTTATTCATTCCTACGAATGCACCACAAAAACCTGGCTACAACATGAAAAAGACTAAACAGTTGATCAATAAAAAAGTCTTTGAATTAAATAATGATGTTTTTTAAAATTTTATTTAAATATGGGAGGAAACTGTTTTAATTTCATTACATTTGTATTGTTTAGTAGCACCATTTCCATACTATTCTAAAATGCAGCATTACTACATATGCAAATATTAAAGGAGGAGTTTAAATTGAAACCTTGTTAGAATGCAAGACATTTTAAAACCAGGATCATATTGTTTAATCACAAATAAATCACTTCATGTGCTTGAAGAAATGATTTTTGCAAATTATTTTAATAATGTAGCCTTATTATGAAGATGAAGGAATGAAAAACAAGAGTTTCATTCCATATTTTGACATTGAGTATATTTTCTGCAGAATAAACAAGTCTGTTTTGATGTGAAGGCATGAATGGTAAGATTTCAATTTCATCCGTTTCTTCAATGAGAAATAAATTATTAGACTGGAATCTAGCAGAAGACAATATTCATTATTGATAATAGTATTTAGAAGCTTTCCCATGCAGTCTACAAAAAGATCATGTCTTATATCAAAAATATATGTATCATCCAAATAATGATGTATTGTGTAATTAGTACATTTTTTCTGTGACTTATAAGAACCCTTATTTCATGCATCACTGTGCAAATGTATTAAATCCTCTACATTCATATTATGCAAACATGGATAGGACCAAATGACTCAGTTGGTTACCTTCTTTCAGTTTCCATTCATCAGCAGAGTTTTTGAGTTTACGTGCCTAAAAATATAAAAACACAGAATGTACAGTACAAGGGTTTTTCCAAAAAGTAAGAATGAAAATACTTCATTGTTTTTTGTCATAGCAGTCAGTACACAAGCTACTGCATACTCTCATTGTAGAAATCAGCTGTTTGTACATTTAGCCAGTTGTGAATTTAACTCTAAATGTTTGAAAAGAACTCTCTTGATGAAAGCATATGTGAACCGAAGATAAAGATGGTAATTTGAGTCAAGATCTGGCCTGAAAAATGAATGCTCAAAAACTTTCCGTGTTTTGACAATCATTCTGTTGCATTGTCATGCAACAGAATGATACCACTTAGTCTTAAGTCACTAACAATTTTGAATTGCATGCTATAAGTTTTTCATGGTTTGGATGTAGAATTGCTCATTAATTATGGCATTCGTCTGCATTTCATGGTTGGTGGAAATTTCAGTTTTTTTTTTTTTTTTTTAAATGTGAAAAATATTTGACCACATGAAAGCTATCTGTCAATTTTTGCTCATTTTAAAAGTCTCAACTGCCTAGCTTTGGTCTCTATTATTTTAGAAACTTCTCATAATGATAGTCATTTCAGTTAGCAGTTGATAGCAGCTGGGAGACAAGTACAAAAGACAATATATGGGCTTTAAAAAAAAAAGGGGCATTTAGGTATGTATATGTCATTTTTTTAATAGCCTGTTTGAAGTCCCTTTTGGTATTTTAGAGTGGAAGATTAACTGGAAATAAATATTTTGTCAGTCACTACAACTTTGGTCTATTTTGGGAAATAGCTGCATCTAAAATTGATTTTACTGCCCCTTCCATCTCCACAACTTGAGGGGAGGATGTGGCATCATTATTGAGGATTTTTTCAATAAAAATTGGTATAATCAAATTATATGCAAAATAATTATTAACACTAATCAGAGTGTAGTGGATTTATTAGTATGCGCTAGTACTTTCGATAGCTTACAGCCACCATCCTCAGGAGAAAAACAAATCGAATACAATTAATTTTTGAACATTTGGTTATTTGAATGGACTTTTTTAAAAATAACCATGGCATGTGGATAGAATACAAAATTCAATTTGTTTTTCACCTGAGGATGGTGATTATAAGCCATCAAAAGTACAGTAGAGTGTCGTTTATCCAAATCAATTGGGGACTGGGGTTGTTCAAATAACTTATTTTTTGGATAACCGATTACATACGAAAAAATAATTAATCTATCCCATGTTGAAATTTTTCTCCATTGCATGTTGCTTCGCGTTGAATTTTTGTCAATGTTAAGCCTAATGTAAACTTTTTAAAATAATAATCGTGGCTATTGTATCGTTAAAAATTATTTTCTTATTTTTTACAAACAAAATAAATATATTGAAAAATATAAAAACAAAAAAATCATACTTTAGAAGTTAATCTAGTATCAAAAACGTTCGATTCAGCACGACACACAGTCCTCAGAAAAACACCACACAAAAGTGCCAATGCTGCCAGCTAAAACACACACATCAACAAAAAGAATATTGGAGTAGCCCAAGATATAGCCAAAGATTGCAGCGCCACAGCACTAGCGAAAATTAAAATTTGCTGACTGGAATTCTTTTGGACAAACGACGCTCTACTGTACTAGCAAGTATTTCGTAATTATGCTAATAAATTGTAATTGTAATAACACTACACTCTAGTGTTAATTATTTTAAATGATTGTTGGCGTGAAGTGTCTTTTTATGATTACTATGATTATATGTAAATATATCTGTAGTGATTAAGTTTTAAAATACAAAACAGTTTGAATTCTAATAAAAATAACATTACTTACAAACAGGGAAGAAATTGAAGAATTACAAAAAAGAAGAAATCTTGCAGAGGTAAAATAAAAATCTATTAATATCACATGTTTCCAATATAAGCAAACTATGTTATAAAATGTATACATTTCAATAGTAAATTAGTCTATATGTAATACAGTTGACTTGCCTTAAAATGAACTCCAATAAAGCAAACAAAAATTTTATCAGAATTCATTAAACTGAATTGTAAATTACCTTCACAGCCCGTGAGAAATAATATTTCCAATAATGATTTTATTAGTCACATCGAAAAGTGTAAAAAGCAAAGTGTACTGTAGTGGATGTTCTATTTTGAGTAGAATAGATTTTATTCTCCTAGTAAGCAAAAATGGGTTCAACATCTGATTGTAGAGCAATTTAAACATCTAGTTTTAGTGGACAATTCTACTGTACTCAGAGAATAGGACCCATTTAAAGAGGCATCCTTAAACTTTAAGAATGCCACCTCTTTACGTGGATGAGATCCCATGCGAATGTGTGCTAGTACCAGTTTGCATATCGGGGGGTGCATACAGTGATGCCAGGTTTGGCTCCTTTTTGTATATCATTAGTAAAGCTAGGTGCTGAAACTAAAATATAAGAGTTTTATTTTGTATCAATGCTTAATTTCTAGTCTAAATCTTATTTTTTCTCAAGAATATAAATCTTTCAAAAATTTGAATAATTTTTTTTTTTTTTTTTGACAGAGATATTGTTTTGAAATGAAAAAAAAATTTTGTTTGGAAAAAATGACAGATTGCATCTCAACAGCTGAGAAAAATATGCAGTTGCTACAAAATAGATATTTAAGGTAATTATTATTTACAAAATTAGAACTAAATTAAATAATTGAGTAAGAATGAAAGATGGTTCCTTGAGTATGAGTTAAATTTATTTACCAATCAATAAAACAGTTATCATAAAAGTTAAATATTTCTTACCCATTTATTTTTGATGAACCAAATTCTAATTTTCATTTAAACATTAGTTAACAACAGCTGAATGAAATTATTAGATAATTACCAGTATGTAATCTCTACATGAATGTTTTCTTCAGATTCCAAATACATATACAGTGGTGCCTCGTATAATGTAATTAATCCGTTCCAGGTGCACATCCATTATACAAAATGCATTTTCTCATAGAAATACATGTTAAAACATATAATTCGTTCTGCAGCATAAAATAACCATACTGTATACAGATACAGACTTTTTACACATTGCAGCAGGTTTCTTTTAATTGGTGTCATATTCAGGAGAGGCTACCGGAGCTTGCAGGGTCATCATCGTTTGCTTCTTGAAAAATATGTCCAAGGTGGTCTGTTTCTCTCTCTTCTTCAACACCTGTCGGAAATGACGGGCAAGGGTGTCATTGTAGAGATCATTGATCCTGTTGGCCTCAGCTCTGTTTGGATAATGAGTGTTGGTAAACTCCTTAACCTCTCCCCATTTGACAAGGAAGTTTTTGTCAACTTTCACTCCTTCTGATGATGTCTTGCTTTGTTTCAATTGAAATCACCTTTCTGTTTTTTTTACAAGCCATGATTTACACAACATCCTGCACTGAGGTGATGTATGTAATAAACAAGGGAGCCATCCGAATCTCAACAGGAGCTCTGTACTTCAGATATATTAATAATATATTCTAATAATACTAATATATTATAAAAATAGCAAATTGTCAATGGCAACAGCAAAAGAGTGGAAACACCATTCGTACTTGTTTGCAGCCAGTCTGTTGCTCTAGTCACCACTGTATTTTTTTAATAGGATTTATGGATGTTTTTAAAGGGAAGAAGATTGCTGGATTATATTGGGCTGTATTAATATTACGTAATTTGGCCTAAAGGTAGGCATTAGGTGCCATCTCTTGATAAATTAATTAATTTAGAAGGTTCTGGAAGAAAAGAATTAGCCTGAAATGAGACTCTGTCCCTCAGCTTCCAGTGACACTATCTGGATAGCATAACCAGAAAAATTGGAAGATGATATTTTTTGATTTGAACTTTATATACAAAGTTGTTGAATGTTCAAGCTTTAAACTATTGTTCTGATCCCTTTATCTACAAAAAACACAACAAACTGTATCTTTGGATTGAACTTACTTTCCTAGATATAGTCACTCAAATAAAACAGCTTTACAGAAATTTCAAAAATGAAAATTTTGCAAAATGCTTTGGCAACTTCATATTGGTGCAAAACAAATTTATTCGGTGTCATTTCAGGCAGTTGACCCTCGTGATGTCTAATTTTGTCAATTTTTTGCAGAATGAAACCACCTACAGTGGTACCTCAGGATATGAAATTAATCCGTTCCGAAACTGAGATCGTATCATGAAAATGTCGTAAGGTGAATCATTTTTTCCCATACGATTACATGTAAAACCAAATAATTTGTTCCAACACGAAAAACACACTCAAATTAAAGATAAGTAGCACATTTAAAAAAATAACTAGAGTAAGGAAAACACTGAAAAATGCATTTTGTAGTTGTAAATGTATAACAGTGGCGTGCCGTCATTAGAAGCGTTGGAAGCGCTGCTTCCCTCGTATTCTCTAAAAAATAAATAAATATTAATTTTAATTATATGAAAATAATCGCACAATCTTTTATTATAACCGCATTATGTACCGTATTATTACAAATTTCTATACTACACGTGGGAAAAAAAAGAAAAAAATTGCTATTGTATATTAGAATATTAGTGGCAGAGTGGAATCTCCTGTATTTTCAGATTACGAAAAGCCAGATTTGCGCATGCGCTTTACAGAGCACCAACCTCACCCGGTTTAGCCGGTGGAAGCCTACGACCTTGGGTGAAAGCTGCACACATATAAAGATTCCAATTCTATCAAGGACCGGTTCTGGGCTGTTAGCCGCCTGCCCACTAGATATTTCGATTACGTGAATAACGAGTAGATTTATAACTTAACCCAACCGATAAGAATTTACTGGTATGTTTTTACGATAGTTCTGTATAGTTGACAGGAGTTTAAAAAATCCATTAAAATATTTGATATATTTATTCCGCTCTCCGATTTTATATTACTCACGGATTTCGATGTTAAACCAGTGATATTACGATTTCGTACATCCCATCTTTAAGGGGATGTAGAAAAAAACGTGTACAATTCTTGTATAATGTTAAAAAATTAACCGTTACTTCGACAGCGTCATTTACAACTAAATTTAATGAATGAGAGAGATGCACCAGGTACAGAAAAGGCTCTAGAATTTATTTTCCTTAAATTTACGATTTATGTATCCGTTGTCGTAAAAATTTGTCTTTCCACTTTTTTCCCGAGACTACAAATATTCGAGTACAAAGTAACTGGTTTCGACTTATTTCTACTTAAGAAGTAGTTAAATAATTAAGCGATTAGGGAATTGGGGACGTAAACAAAACCCTGATGAAAGAGCCGGAATTTTACTTAAACAAAAGCCTAACCGGACCAATATCTAGCCGAGTACAGTGGGACTGATTTCTTCGTAATATTAGATGTAATAAAGACAGAAATTTTTCCAGTTCAATGAAAGTGAGTAAAAGTTGTAAATTTTGGAAATTTCCGTGGACACCTGGTCTTAAAACGAATTACAGTAGTTAGAAAACAAATGACTTTTAAGTTTAACAAATTTAGATTTTTACAGCTATGATGAGAAACGTTTAAAATTTACAACAACCCTGTCGCGTCCTTTGAGATATACTAGTGATGAGACAAAAGAGACATTAACCGGTATCGGCACCCTCGGGATTTGGCAAGCATGCACCGCACCGCACACCTACCAAGACCGTCTCTGATTCCATCCACGAGCCACTGGTAGGGAGCAATTTTAACTAGGTGGATTGTTTTAATATTTAAAAAGTAAAGACTATTTTATGTTATTTTTATGTACGTTTCTTCACAAAACTATATTTATAATTTTCTTTAAAAGTATATTCATACAATTGAATATTTTGTACCAGGTATGTATAATTGTATATCATCACACATTTTATTTTAACAAGTAAGTTTTTATAATTTTATTTTTAATTTTAGCCCTTATATTATAGCTAGCAATTTAGAATGTAATTGTGATATCGAAAATTTATTTCAAAAAGTTTTGGCTCGAGACCATATAATGAAAAAGAAAAAATTTGTTCGACATTTTCATGATAAAATTTATGAAGATATAAAATGGCTTTGTGGATGCATAAAAATGCAAAATTTGTTTTGTTGGCCTTGCCTACTATTTTCAAATAAAATTAGTGTGTAGAATGAGATTGGCTTTGACGATTTAAATAATTTGAGTAAAGCTGGCAAAAGACATGAAAATCCTAAATCTCGCATCGATTCTTTCGTAAAATTGAAGCAATTTGGAAATCAAAATAGAATAGAATTTAACATTAGTACGCAATATAAAATATATATTAAAAATTATAACGAGATAGTTCGGCTAATAGATATATTTTAATTAGTAGATGTTATCGAAGCGAGAATTGGCATTTAGAGGGCGTATAGAATCTATTAAATCTAATATAAGAGAGTTAATTATATTGAACTTGCTTATTTATTAAGTGTGTTAGATAATCTATTAATTAAGAATACGTTTAGAGAAGTCTACGGTTTTTACTGGCTTATCAAACAAATGAATACGAATGGACTCTAGATCATTGCTGACTGATTGCCCCTGGAAGTCGGCTTCTTATAGAAACACAGCTTCCCTATCATCAAATGTCATGGCACGCCACTGATGTATAACCATAATATTTAGACATTTAGATCAAAGGAGGAGAGGGCTATCCGTTTATTTGTTACAGACTTGGCCCTGTTGGAAGAGGAAGAAAGGGAAAGCGAGATAGGAAAGTGTGAAAGAAGGCAGGGGAGGCATCATGGGCGCCCGCATCGCATTTATTAATATAACAGAATACAGAACGATTGCAGAATTTACAGATAATAATAACATATTTACATACTGACTTTACATAGTAAGTGCGTACACAGTGCTAGAATGGTAAACTTGTGATATTTACAGAGTAACAACATTATTATGAGAACACCATGACAATTGGCGTCTTCTAAAACTATGTGGCGATGCTGCTCTCCCATCTCGTGCTACACAGAATACCTAATTTCTAACATACTTAATATTAATCATTACATTTTTACAAGAGCGTAACAATATAGAGGCTACACGGCAATTCTGCCGCATTTACAACACCCTAGTATATGAGACATATTTTGACATATACAATATTCACTTACATTATACTTAGGCGATTTATTATATACAACAAGGTGGTTACATTATGATACAAGTCTATACGGCTGCCTACACAGTCCTTGCAGATTGCAGAAGACTGCTGAATTACTGACCATTAGATAATTCTGTACCAACAACCGTCCGAGAGCTCATTGAAGTGGTGGCCCTAAATTCCGCCTGGCGTTGGTGTGGTTTAGCAGATGTCAAGTCCTAAGTCGCAGTCGTAGTTCGATAGTTATTGCACAGCGCCTTTGTGTTTTTGATGTATTTCTTGAGACTGTTCCAGACTTCTTTGATATTAAAAATGTCTTTCGGTCTTGGTGGCCAGTTAAGACCGTTTTTAAGGCAGGTCCCCATGAAAGAGAGCCTTTCTTGTTCGTAAGTTGGACAGTCGAATAGTAGGTGGTTGCTGTTACCTTCGCCGAAGTCGTCACAATTACAGGTGTTTGTCTCCCGCTTGCCAAATCGGCAGAGATAGGAGGCGAAATTGCCGTGGCCAGTTAGAATCTGAGAGGTTTCGGCATCGGGAGTGTAATGTTTGATCTTTAAGCGGAGATGAATGGATGGAATGTAGTCGTGACTATTCCTGCCGGTATCGGCGGAGTCCCAGTCGCGCTGCCACTGGTTGATTTCAATCATGTGTAGCTGGTTCTTGAGCCATGTGTTAGGAAGCCTTTTATATGTGGGTTCTTTATCCAATGTGCTTGCCCTTTTCGCCAGTTTGTCGGCGAGTTCATTTCCGGGATTTCCGTGATGTCCCGGTACCCAGTTGAAGATGACCTTTCTGGTCATTCCCAGATTATTAGCCGCTGTGATTAACTCTTGCGAGAGTCCAGTATATCTTCTTTTGTTCATGAGTATCTTTAGTGCTGTTTGGCTATCTGTATAAAATCTGATGTGCCCTTTATACCTTTGGTTGTTATCCGTGACATATTTGATTGCTCTGTACAAGGCCCACTGCTCTGCCTGTATGTTTGTGCAGTGGGAGGCGTATAACCATAATAGAATAATAACTTGATAAAAAAAAAAAAAAAATAGTAGTTTATTTGCACTTTACCTTCGAGGATAAACAACGGTGGAGGTGTAAACTGTTGGCGGAGGAGGAGGAGAAGGGAAATTATACTAAAACTTAACTTACATAACATAAAGTAACAATAGCTTAAAAATAACTTAGAAAAGATTAAAAAAAAATTATTGTTGTTTTATATACAGTAGAGCGTCGATTTTCCGAAAGTCAATCATCCGAAAGAATTTCAGTCAGCAAATTTAAATTTTCGCCAGTGCTGTGGCGCTTCAATCTTTACTGGATAGAGGTCGCTTGGTAAAATATCTATCCAAAGAGGTTTGGCTTTGCCTACTATTTGGCTATGTTTCTAAAATGACTTAGGCAAATGTCATTAAACTGAGCAGCAATATGGCCAGTGTGAACCTTTTTGGGATGTTTCTTTTCAATAAAATCAGTCACTTTCTGATAATACCTCAAGATTTCCTTTATCGAGCGAGATCCTTCCACGACAAAGCAATCGCGCGGACTGAGACCGATGAACAGAAGTGAATAAAAAAAGGCGCTGCGAACTAATGTAACGTCGTATGGTGAGTTTTTGTTCTTATCGTGAAGCAAAAATATGTTCGAATTTCCTGTCGTATCCTGAGGTACCACTGTATAACTATTGAAGCATTTTCTTTGGTAGAGAAGTTTTAATGGAAGTTTTTTCCTGTCCCTTGGAGCTTCAAGTTAAGAAAAAAAAAAAACAAGTTATAGACAATTCAAATTGGAGAACAATAGAGTGAAAAATGCTGATTCTGAATAGATTTGTATTTTTACCTCTTGCATTATATAAAGAATCTTTCATAAGGCATTAAAACAAAAAAAGCCTGTGTAAAGATATTCAATGTAATGGAATCTACCTGCAAATCTGTGAGAGAATCTCTTTAACATTGTCTTCAGATAGTTAGTTGTATCTATTGTCGAACACCTGTCAGGTTTCAATTAGGATCAGAACAAAATTCCTTGTCTTGATACTAGTTAGCTTAGTCAATTTAATAATAAATTTGTTTTTCCAGTAACATGTGTTTGAGCTATGTAAACAGCAAAGTTGATTAATGTTAAAAGAAACACTTCTTCATCACCGTATCAGTGTGCTTAATATTTTTACTTTCCCTTTGTTATATTGCCATATTGCCATACTTTCTTGGCTGTTATATATGTCAAAAAATGACCCTCCCAGATTTTACATTAGAGAAGTTGCAGACAATGTTTTCATCATGAAAACGTGAATGTCAGACATTCAGCACCACCATCCTGTAAGTCTAGAAGTTTGACAATGGCTTTTGGAACATGCCAAACTTCTAGGCTTACGGGATGGCGGCACTGAACGCCATTCTGTAAACTGAACTGAAAAAAATTTGGAGGGTGGGGTAATTTCTGTATGTATGGATGTGGGTGTGTGACACAATTTTGTTCACCCTGTTTCAAGCTTAATAACTCCTGTGATTTTTGTTGAAAACTTTTGAAATTTTGCAGGGGGATTGATGCTATTAAATTTTGGTGGTTAAAGGGTCGTGTTTATCTCTAGTAGGGTCAGACTTGATGACAATTTTACTTATTATTAGCATTTACAATTAAAATCCAAAATTGAGCTTTTTGTCTTTTTGCCATTTTATAATATCATATTTTTATTAAAACATTTTTAACAGATGGCGACACACATGCAGTTTTAAATGTTGCTGGAAAAGCTAGTAGAAAAAAATTCAACAACCTACTTGTTTTTTGCAACTTCTCAATAGGAATTTCAATACAAATATACATCCACAACTGCCGTAAATGATCAGGCTATAATTTGGAGATAATGATTGTAGATTAGAAATGAATTTGACACTAGAGGGAGGCATTAGGCACCATCTCTAGTGTCAAATTCATTTCTAATCTACAAAAATTATTTCCAAATTATGCCCCGATCATTTATGGCAGTTGTGGGTGTATATAGGAATTTCAATACTAATATTTGTACTGAATTATGAATTACCATCAATTTATCTTGATACTAGCTAGCTTGTTCAGTCAGTTCAATAATGGTTATGAAGAAAAGCACTGGAAAGCTGATAAGAGAATACTTGTATACATGAGGTCAAATGACCCAATTACAGAATATGTTGATGGGGAAGCTAATCCATTTTCCTTCTGGTGCTGTTATCCTCAGCAGCACCAGAAGCAGAATGATGGCATCTGTTAGAGCCATGTAAAGAGATAATTCATTTACAAAGGTTTGTAGAGACTTTATAAATCCAACTCTGAATATTTTTAAGATTTGAAGAGAAGGGATTACTCCTAGTACAAATCCCTTGAATTGCTTCTCAAACAAAAACAGATACACAATTAGGACTTGACATAAATGTTTTGGAAAACTTAATACTTTGCCAAACTGCAACTCAATTACTTTTCTCAGTCCAAATTGCACTGTTTGTGGTTAGAGTTGGAGAGAAATCTTGTATTTATTTTTATGATGTTTCTTATTCCAGGGGAAGTTTGAGCATTTCCCACTTTTTTCTGTGTTCAAATTCTAATAAACTCAGTACCATATAGATTCTAAATATCTTATTTGCAAATACAGATGTTCATAATTTATTTATGGCAATGGCCAAACTAGTGCATTAAAAATTATTTTAGAATTCAAATAATAGCAAGGTTGTGGTTTTCATCTCTATAACATGAACGTTGACCGCTGCTTACAAAATAGTGGTGCTCGATGTTCACGTTTTAGAGATGAAAATTTTGGCCTCAACCTTGCTAATGTAACAGTTAACTACTTAACATTATCCGTGTTTGTTACAGTTTTATATTTAACTTACTGGTTAGTGTCTAATGATACAACTCTGGTTTGTGACATTAGTGCTTCTGAAGCAAAAGAGAAAACATTCTGCAGAGCTGATGTTATAAAATTCATGTTTGTCATTCCAATTCCTGTTTTATAATAAATTATTAATTCACTTAAGTATAAAAATAAAATCTGTTCTGCACGAACATTGCAATATTCTTTCAGTATGATTTTTGTTCCTTTGAGATACATGAATATAATTAAAAGATTATAATACAACAATGCTGTTTAAGCATATTGCACTTCAAATTTTTAATCAATATTATATAGGTTTGTGTGTGGTTTAAGGAACTGCATTCTTATTTTTTATGTTTGACATAAATGAGAACTTCCCTGGCTCCTCCCTTTTACAAAGTATGCATAAAAACTGGAACCAATGGAGAGAAAACGAGCAAGAACACATTAACACTAATACTAATGAACATTACCTTTGCAAAATATGTTCAAATAGTCTCCATACTAGCAGACAACCACTTCTAAACTTGTCATAAATTTTGGAAAGCAGGATTGGTTTCTGAAGCAGTTTCCCCACTGTACTGTGTGTTATTGAATGCTTTTTTGGGGATGTCTCAAAGTTAATTCAGATGTCATCTCTCTGCATCCATCCTTCTCACTGAGTAAGGAAGTTCAGGCAATCTGTAAGAAAAAAAATTTGCCATTGATTCCATACTTGCAACTCTAGATAAACATAATTCAAAGTATATACAGTAATTCTAGATTAAACTTTTATGTACTAGTAGTAATACATTTAAGTAATAATTCATCACCACTATTAAACAAGATTAGGGACAGACAGACAACAGTGGGAATTTATAGGTCTACAATTTTTTCAAATTGAGCTGCAATCAAAATATTCCCAATATTAGTTACTATTAAAAAAAATGAGTCTATCAAAATAACAAAGATGCTAGTACTGTTTGTAAAATTCTCATACACTGATGTAAATGATGCCAATGATTTTTAGACTAAAAGAATGTACTGATACATCTCTATTAAGTTTTTTTACATAATACTAGTGATGTAACCAATTTATTTCCTCCTTCTTATAACAGAAAAGGGGACACTATTTCTAGTAACTTAGAAAATTTCTTAAACTGTCATTTTGTTTGTTGATTTTGTTGTTTTGAAATTATTTTTCTTTTTAGTAAATGTTCTCCTATTAAAAACAATAGTGATATTGTGGAAGAAATATCCTTATGGCAGTATTATAAAGATAAATGCAAGGAGACAATTGAAAATTATTTTGTAAGCATATTTTTAGACTTTAAGAACATTTATTTTTTGAAATTAATTTTTTCAGTTTCCTTTTTTTAGCAAAAGGTAGATAATTATCTTAAGAAAGTCACCAAAGACAATTTAAAGATTGATATTTATAAATATGACATTCCATCACCTCCATCTGTTCCGTGTAATCCAAATAATGTTATAAACTTAGCTGTGGTGAGTTTTCTATTCTATTATTATTATTATTAGATTAATTCTGCACACAAAGTTGTTAAATATTTTGAAAGCAATCTGAAGATACATCTTTAATTAATTTTCAAATTTTTGTTATTATACTGTTATACAAAAACCAACAGCACCTTGCATGCTTTGCTGTTTATTAAACTGTTGTGTCTGTTGTAGAAGTCATAATAGGTTACATTCATTTAAAAGTAATATGTATATTATTATGCATCAACAAAAAACATAAATTAATTTGGGCAACATTGACTACTATCTCAAAACTTTAACCATTTTATGCAATAACAATAGTATGTATGGAAATTCATAAATCAAAATTGTTAAGATATAGATTACTTTGACTTTATATTTAGAAATATATATTTTAATGTAATGATTTATGTATAGTTGGATGAATGTCCAATCTGCTTTGAAACTATTCTAAACCAAGAGGAAGAATGTACTCCTTGTGAACATAAGTTTCATGTGAAGGTTTGTCTATTTCCTATAATTCTTTTATATGTATAATGATAACAATGTATGTTTCTAATTAGCACTAATACATATTGTTTAGTGTCTTCAAAGTTGGTTGAAGAAGGAAACCACTTGTCCTGTCTGTAGAAGTCATGTATTGAGTTTTGAAGAGTTTCCGAGACTTACTCGTTGCTCACGGCCAGCACCAGCCCATCTGTCCACCCGTCCTTGAAGTGAATTATTTGTGTCTTATTGTAATTACTTGTCTTAAAATTTAGCAATTGATTTTCAGTATCATCAAACAAGCTAATTTTTAAAATGCACAGATAATACCCACCTCACTGAAATAATGTTTCATCCCATATCCGCCCTTCAGAATGAAAAGCCTAGTGCCAGTACTGTCATTAGGACTATTTGAATATGGATTGCAGATTTATATGCTTTTTTTTTTTAATTATTGACATGGTTAATCGTCACTCCTTTTCGTGCTTTGTCTGTAATCTTAAAATTTTGGATACTGATTTACTTTTGTGCTCACAGTGTTTGAAAAATGCTCATTTTTATTGTTATGGTGTTGGTTGTGCTACTTTCCATAAATTTAGTAAAAATTGGAAATGTTGATCCTGTAGACCAGTGAAGACTACAAAAGGAAATGCAAATTCAACTTTGGAATTGGGACGAGATAAAGTGAGCTGACTCACCTAAATCATTATCTCTCCAGTTAGTGACAAACTGATTGATTGTAATAATAAGCAATGTAACCTCCTGCCCACTCTAACGACACCCGAACCTAATGAGTCAACCTGGTTTGATAAATTATTTTTAGAAATTAAACAAATTTATAAGAGGCTTGGAGAATATAAATCAAACAAATAAAAGCATAAAAGATTCGATAAAAGTAACAACCATTTTAACACTCTGGAGATAAACAATAAAAGGCTTTTTGATGAAAATTCTACAATGAAATGAGAATTAAATATAACACAAGAAAAATTAAAGTTTATGGAGCAAGATGTTAATAATTCAAATTTAGAAATTGCTGGACTTCCTACTTTGTTAAATGAAAATGTAATTGATATTGTTTATAAGGTTATGCATGACATTTGTGGATAATACATTTGATAAATTATTGTAAATGCCTAAACTCCTTCCAAATGAAAGAAATTCAATGCCACGTGAAATTAGCTAATATTACATGGAAGCAAAAAAGTATCGATAAAATTAAAGAGAATAAACTCAAAATTACTTCTAGTGCATGTAATTTAAATTAATGAAGAACATAAAATTTATATAAATGATCATCTTAAACTATATGATAGAAATCTTTTTTTTTTTTATAAAACTAGAGTTTTAAAGGAGGAGTGGAAAATATTAAATACTTGGACTAAAAATGGTATAATTTACATAAAGATTAATGCAACCTTCACGAATATGTACGTTAGAATATATTGAGAGTTTATTTCCTGATGGAAGATTTATTAAAACATAATAAGATAACTAATTTTGATAGAGACAGACTCTAAATATTTTATATTAATGTAAGATGTTTAAATAATATTATATGATTGCAATTTTGGAATACTGGCTTTTTGTGAGACATGGACTAATGAAACCCACTCTCTGTTTAAAATAAAAAACTGAAAGACAACCTAACCAACTTGGAGGTATAGTTTTGTATATAAATAAGGATTTGATTTATGATGTAATATCTGATTTCACATTTACTAAAGAGTACAGTACATTGATGTAATGACAATATCTATCAATAAAATTTTGATTGTGGTTGTTTATCGATCTCTGGCTTCAAACAACAGTTTATTTTTCGAAACGTAGTAAATTTTATAGTTTAGTAATATTGAAATGAATTAAGGAAGTATAAATTACTTATCATTGGTGATTTTAATATAGATTTAATTACAAGTACTTATCGAAGAGTCTTTGACTTGTTAAACTTTTGCTTTTCTGAAAATTTATCACTTTGGTAACCAACCAGATTTTGATAAAGATACTCCTTGATTGATTTCAGGTTAACCAATGTTGGTGAGTCAGGATTTATTGTCAGATCATAAACTATATGCCTATAGTTTTCTTCCAAGGAAAGATACGGAAATAGGTGGTAATTCATTAAAAACACGTAGAAAAATAAATATTACGTCAATACAATTTTTACATAATGCACTGTCAACTTCTTTTGCTTGGGATTACTATTATTTCTGTTGACCAATTGGCGGATTACTTTCAGGATATCCTGCAGATTTTTATTAATAAATATCTTCCCTTTATAACACTAAAGAAAAATCGAGATAATCTTTGCCAAAAATGCTTTTCGCTTTAACTTTATTGTATCATTTGAGATAATTAGCCAGAAGAGGAGGTTGTTCAAACAACTAAACAAGAGTTGTATTTCAGGAGATTGATGTGCAAGAATATTAGAAATAAAATTAGGAAAGAAGAGATAGAAATGTCTGTCATAGTAGTCTCTAATCTCTTGCCAAAACTCTATCAAAGAATGTATATTAAACATCTGCCTATCCATATTGTTAAAACACAGAATGACATACAAATTAAGCACGTGAAATATAATAGAGAACTTTTTCAAAATGAAGAAAAAATAAGTAATATTTTTGCTGATCACTATAGACAGATGGGAGGTTTTGTCATATCAACGTTAAAAATTCTCACATTCCTCTTCATGCTGTATGGTATGTTTTTTTTTTTGGATGAAACTTCTCATAACATAATCAAAAATCTCTTTAGGAGTGTAAAAGCTAATACTCCAGACATAGAATAAATGTATTTAACTTATCAAAGACAAATAGCAGATATTATTGCATTACCATTATCTTATTTAATTAATAAAACCTTCCAGTGTGGGAGGTTTCCAGAGAAGCTCAAACACAATCTTGTAATACCAATATTTAAAAATAAAAGATCTAAACAGATTACTATCAGTCGGAGTATAACTAAAATAATTGAAATGGCTTTCTATAAAATATTTTTTGGATTTGTTAATAAATATAATATCTAATAACCAGTATGGTTTTAAAAGAGATGCCTCTACAATTGATGCATTAACTCATCTTAAACAATATATTATTGACGGTCTCGATAATTCAAATATAGTAAGAGCAGTGTTTATCGATCTGACTAAGGCTTTTGATAGCATAGATATCAAGATATTAAAACAAAAATTGTTTAAAGTCAGATTGAGAGGAGTGACATTGGAGTGGCTGATATCCTATTTATCAAATTGTATGTACTGTACAGTACTATGTTAAGGTAAAAAATTCAATATCTAAACCTTTTCAAATGAATAAAGAGATCCATTCTAGGCCCTTTAATTTTTGATATTTACATAAATGTTATTATAGAAACTATTCCCGAAAATAATATATTATATGCAGATGATATTGTTATAACCTATGCTGATTTTATTATTTTCAATTAATTGAAGATTCCAAAATTCATTGCTGGCTAAATTAAGTAAATATATGGCAAATAATAACTTTAGAATAAATGAGATTAAAACAAAAAAGTCATTTAATGATATACACATAAGAATTAATAATAAACATATTCAAAGAGGTGTGAAATGTTTGGGTATTGAAATTGTACTGTGAAATGTTTGGGTATTGAAATTGATGATAAATTATGATGGAACAATCATATAAATAATCTAACACTGTCTTTATCTAAATTTATTAGAATATTGAAAAGAATAACAAATGACAAATTTTGAGACTGTTTTGTGTTTGTATGGAACCCAAACTTCAATATGGTATTTCCATATAGGGTACAGCTTCTTTTATATTGAATAGATTGCAAGTCACACAAAAGTTTATTAGAACATTATACAAGTTACCTTATTCTTCTGTCACCTATTATTATTAACCAAACCAATATCGACAAATTAAAAGTTTTATATAAAATATAAATTATTTTAGACAGCTTTAAAGTAATAAAAGGTTGGCAGGAAAGAATCTTATATAAGTGATGAGTTAAATAAACACTAGGCCCTCTACAACTATGGTAGATTCAAATTATTTTTCCCTCCAAAGTTAAGCACTGTTTTGGCCAAGATGCACCGATCTACCAATTCATATATAACTGGAATGTTTTAAAAGAAGAATAAATTTCCCATAAGTTCTCAGATCCTTATAAACAAGTTGTTAAAAAATTGAACTGTGCTTAGTTTCCTGTATTTTTTTTTTTTGCTGTTCTTTTTTTGTTTTGTATATGTTTTTTTCTGGATACTTGGAAAAAGCCAACGGCCATTGTGTCATTTAGTTAAAATAAATAAATAAATATGAAAATATTTTAAATTGATCTCTGTTACCAAATGATGTGAATCTTTGTAAAAATTTTTATATTTGATGGTAAAGCAGTCATCATTCATAAATTCATAAGCATGATGGACATATTTTATTGTATATACTGAAATATATAAGAGAAATACATCTTTTGTGTAACTTTAATCCTTAAAGGTGAAATTGTTAGTTGTATTACATATAGTCATTGTTACATCCAGTTAGGATTTTAAAAAATGAACATTTTATTTTTAAAGATTAGTGTTTACAAATGCTGGCAAAAACCAATTTTTAGTTTTTGAACTGGCGCTGGAAGCTTCATAATTACTGTCAATTAAACAAAATGAAATTTTCTGATAGTATTTAATACATTGGTTACTTGTAATGTTCTTAGATCCAAGTGTACTGTACTTACTTTACTACAATATCAATGTAACATTAGTTTGAACACCGGGTCAATTTACAATCTTACTTTTTTAAAATTTGTTTCTGCAGTCCAATGAATGATTTATTGAAAAAATTGTAGACCTATAAATTCCCACTGTTGCAGGTCCATCTGTCTTTCCTTATTCTCGAGAATGGAGTTAGATAGATGGAAGACAAGACCAGATATTGAAAGATTGGGGTAGGAGGCCCCGATTAAGTATATAAGAACTTCTTATGCAAACCGGAAGTCATGTTATTTTAATTCAAAAATTTCCCCGGAATGGAGTTAGCAATAGAGTTGTGCCGGTCATACATCTAACAGAAAAGTATCTTGTACAGGGGCAAGCCACTACTAATTCGAGGTGGGGAGCATATATATTTAATTTGAAATATGAGTGTCACAATGCTGGGCTGCAATTTTTAATGTCACAATAAATAAACAAACACCAGTAATTAAGACTCCAGCTTTTAAAAACATCACGTTTAAAATTAATATGAAAATTTACCTAACAAATATTTTAATAGCCTAAATAAATTGTTATGGAACTTAACTACACATTTAGACTTTACGTTATTAAATAGATCTTCATATATAAGTTTATGTTTTTATTTATACAGAACTAACAATTTTTAATATAACTGTATGCTATCCTGATTGTAGAAACTGGCTAAAAATGAGAAATGCTATTTGATCTTTTTAATATGAGTTTAATTCTGTAATAAAGAATTCATAAAAATATCGATTAGCTAACAGTTTTTTTTTTATAGAACTAGTTTGAAAATAACATTAAATGAAAGAGAGTACGTTTATAATGAAATAATTTGATAGTTGCAGAGACCAATTGAATGTCTAACCTATTTATCTATACTAATATTATAAAGAAGTAATGTTTGTAAGTATGTAAGTAAGTAAGTTTGTATGCAGCAGGTAATCTCCGAAACTACTCATCCGATTTCAAAAATTCTTTCACCAATATTTAGAATAGAACTTCAGGGTGGGCATAGGCTGTATATTATTCCGTTAAACATTCATATAAATTAAAAGATATAATCTAGGTTAAGGCTTTTATGTCCAACAGATGGTGCTACGAGTACGACGCCCTAAGTTTGCTTTTCTGTGAGGCATTACGCTTTTCTGAGAAAATGAACTAAAGCGGATCATCTATCTATCTATATAAATAAAAATGTAATGTTCGTTTGTTCCTACCGATTCCTTTGAAATTTTGACACAACGCTGCATTCGAATACGCACGTGTTTTTATATAATATACATGTCGAAATTCAACCCCACTGAAGGGAGATGATTAGGTTTAAGGCTTACGCCTTACGGTAAAGAACTCTGCTTCTATTTATACTATTTTAGATGCGGGTTTTTGCGTTTTTGATTGCGTTTTAATAGGGTACGTCAACAGAATGTACACTAACAAGAAATTTTTCGAAAAATTCCCCCCACGGGGGAAGTGTTATAAATTTATAATAGATACATTTTGAGCCACAACAACGCGTGGCGGGGTCTTCTAGTTTTATATACTTTTACTAGATGGAAAATCCAGTAACGAGTTACGTAAATTTCCCAGCAAAAAGCTTAATTACGAGTAAAATCGTCATTAGCATTTACAATTTTTATAAAACCCATCCCTACCCTTAAAATTAAGTCCTACCTTACTCGAGATATGATATACAACCCAGTTTATCTCCCCATCCCTCGACCAATTAATTTAATAGCATCAATTCCCTAATTCATAAACTTTCCTGCAAAGTTTCAGAAATTTCGGTAAAAAGCATAGAAGTTTCAAAGGTAAACAAAATTGTGCCTCACACGCACGCACTAACTTCCATACAGAAAAAAAATCAATACAGATATTTGTTTTATTTCTCGACGTTTCAAGGTCCCTACTACAAAAATGTAAAAATATCTAGGTACAGTACTGTAGGTCTTATTTCGACCGATCGCCGTACTTTCCCTGTTGTATATAACAGAGGGAAAGTAAAAATTTATGTCATCTCTATCGTAACTACAGTGGAAACACGAAATTCCGAGAAAGGCCTGTTATCGAAGCTTTATTATAATAATAGAGTTTGCGCACCACGTATTATATTTACTGGACGTTATAATTTTAACATAACTGACTTGGATGCACAAACGCCATCTAACGTTACATTGTGCAACTATAACACATGGACGGAAGCACCGCTTTGTTTTCTCCTGGAGATATTGAAGATATTTTTAAATTGTTAATGCCATGACATAAACAATAAAAGAGCAGAAAATACTGCATTATACACTTCGTCTCCTTTCTAGATCAATAAACTAACTGGAAATTTCCAACATTTGTTCAGATTTACAAGATTGATATAATAACTTCATGGACGTTACGCACGTCCACATTTGAAGATGAATACATAAAGGATCAAACACGATTGCTTCCTCAATTTTCACGTTAATGGTTTATTATTTTATAAACTTTTATGCCAATAACGGGCGTTTTTATAACTCAAATACCAGCTAAAAAAAAAAAAAAACGTCGCGTGAGATCCAATAGAAAACTAAGTAAGTGAAGAATCTCGTTGGTCCCGATATATTTAGAAAATTAATGCGTGGATTCTAAATATAATTAGGTACATATAACTTTAACTTACAATCGACAAAAAGTATTTTCAAACATTAAATAATAATTAAACATCTGTGATACTTTTATAAAACGTCGGAACACTTTACAATTCAGTAAAGTCATTTGATAACAGATGGCACCACATTCTATTAATGCACCTCCATTCTTCTTAAAAGTAGTATTTTCGTTTGTGAGAAAAAAAAAAATGTGTGATTTTCGCAAAGATTTAATTTCATTTTCTAATAAAGAAACTCACCCACCGTTTAAATCCTAAAAACGAATTAATAGTTTTAATTTAAAATGTTATTACTCCTCAAGTAAAAACTTGCAATACCGGCAATCTTTAAAAAACTAGTTTTTAAAAGGGTCTTCTGACCACATTTCATACAGCTAGTTCGGAAAGTTCCTACGGAAGATACTGAATTACTTAATAAAACACGCAGTTTAGTCGGTTTCTAACATAAAATTTTGCCGTTTAATTCGTAAATGTTTTCCCGTCTCGAAATTCGTAGCGAAAATAACGGCCGTGTTTGTTTGTTTCTTTCTTTCTTCCCACGGCAAAATTTATTTATTCTCGAAAACCCTCTTGCTTCATCCGCGAGATGTTTATCGACGTTGCGAAATTTATCTTATCCTAGTTCTAATTTTTAAAACTTCCTTGGGGTTGCGAGTAGGATGCGCGATATCGGAGCGAAATCGCCGGCGGATAACGTCGGAAAAACGAACGAAGTCATTACTTCTCACCCCTTTAAGTCTCATTTTGAACTCACGTAGTCCTTCGAGTGACACTTCCTGGACATCTCTATTTTCTAGACGTGGCCCCGGGCCTACTAAAATAGAATAACGTACAAAAATTCATCCGAATCGATTAATTTTCTTCAAATGACCAGTCGAGAGCGACGCACAAAAAAGAAATATATTATATATATATATTTATATATATCCCGGAGCCCTGTGGAGATAGAACTGCATTCGTACTGTACATTACCGACAGATAAACGAAACACTACTAAGAAAAAAAAAAGAAGGTTGCCAACGGTATAAAGTCCTCATTAAGGATAAAAGAATCGAAATGTCGACATTCTTAACGGTGAAAAATGCGTGGTACGGGGCGAAGCCCCGAGCGGATGGAAATCCCTCTTCGTTGCAAACTACACCAGACTAATCACGTTGCGGGACAAAAGGGAAAAAAAAAACGCCAACTCTTTACGACATCCTAAATAATTCACGACTCGTCATTGTCTTTCTTCGTTTCCCACATTAGCATTTCCCAGAGTATCCCTTAAGCATTATTATTTATTTCCAAAGATGCCCCTTATTGCGCCCCGGGGCCCCCGGAGCGGGACACCCTCCTCGGCGGCGGAATAAATGGAGAGTTCATTTCCTTCGGATGGAGAGACACACGAGAGAGTAAGAGAAAGAAGAAGAAGAAAAAAAAAAAAGAAGAGGGCCATCTAGTAATTATCCGTCGGTAGTGAAAAATGGTAGCGTGTCTCGCGATCTTTCACCTGTCTTTCTTATCGCTCTTCTGAGAAAGGTGTTGTTCCTTCTTAGCCTTCTAGAATTACGTAATACGGACGAGGTGCTTTATGTACCACCTGTAGTGCCTCGAGGCCGTCCGCTACATCTCGCCGCTCCAAAGATAAGCTCGGGAAATATAGAACGTTCGGGATTATAAAAATAAAAAAAAAGAGTCAGTTCGTATCTATTACCATCGCTCTGTCAGCCATTTTCGACCCCCCGATTGGTCGGAGAGATATTTGGTCGAGCGTCACGTCGGCTACTTGTCTTTCCACTGCGGGGTTCGAGTAATACCTTGTTGCAGTTCTTTATTTTGACGTAAGCTTGACTGATCGAGGCTCCGATATTTTCTCTCCGACGTTGCTGCACTTCCGTATCACCACCGCTCAAAATATATATATAACTTAGACACACCGTTACCTTTCTAATTATTTTTTCAGCGCGTGGAATTTCGTCACGTTGAATCCATAGTTGTTAAAGATCTCACGTTTTTGGCCCAATGTTTGTACTTGGGACACGTTCTTCCTTAATTTTTAATGACGGTGGAGAAAGTTGAAAAATTTTGAAAAGGTGCCATTTCCAATTTTATGCTAGATTACGAGCCCGGCGTGTGACGTTAAAATTAAGGTTTCGGAGGAAAAATACGAAGAAGAGAGGAAGGCTCTCTTTATCCTCGGCTGTAGAGAATTTTTGTTCGAGGATTTTGAGGGTTTGTTTCATGGTAAATGTGATAAACTATGCATAATCTGGGGTGCCATCAATTTAGCTTCGATGGTTCTTTGGACTTCGTGAATGAAACAATTACTCGTAAATGCGCTCCCAAAAGGTGCCTCTCATTAAGACACTGCGATGACGTCGAAGCTTACGAGCTCTGACGAAATTTCTTCAGATTTCGAAGCATCTTCAAAATGGAATTTTACGACTGTAACGGTTTGAATGTCGTACACTTCTTGAGGTGCAAAAGAAGACCTCCCATAACGGACCCGGATCACGTCCCACTAATTGTGAGTCATGCTCGGTTGACACTCGATACAGTTGCGCTAGAAATTCTACTGATGTATCGCTTCGGATTGGAAAAAGGGGGAGGGAAAAAAAGCACTCGACAAAGTAATTGGCTCTCCGTCTTCTCGTTATCGCGTTAATATAAAATAACAATGCGATATCGCTTTTTTTTCCTTCCACGTTGACAGTAGCTTGACGGATTAGCGTGTTTGAACTCAATCCGAGCGGTATATTTCCTTGTTAAACCAAATTTGACACCAAACTGTGTAATATAAAGTAATACACCTTTGACAGGAAAGAAAATTGATTAGTTAAAAGGGTTTAATAAAAATTATTATTCTATAGGAAAACTGCCAAACGTAATCCTTTTAATTGACTTGTGCCGGTTATAAACTTTATAATCGAGAATTCTTTTCACTTAACAACTTTTTAATGCGCTAAGTAAAGTCATAAACAAATCCTTCGCCTCTTTTAATTGCCATCGATCTAAATAGCTTCCGGTCATTAATCGGAAATCTAAAAGTGAAAAACGCCCGGAACCGGCACGAATTTACTTAAAAGCCCTCCAAAAAATCTTTATGCTTAGAGATAGCCCACTCGGTGCATCTTATCGAAAAACTATAAAATTTACTACAAACAATCCAAAAGATTTGGGTGAATCCATCGATTAAAACTTAAGTGACAATAAGAGCACGATTTTAATTGAGATTCTGCGCCAGTTTCGCATTGCGCCAAAAAATACAAACTAAATCTTTGTTAATTTCAATGGCGTCGAAAAGAAAATTTCGAGCGGCGATCTTAAAAAAAGGGTACGAGGTTCGGAGAATAAGCTCTTTTTTGTTCTTCAGGGCGTGTCCGTTTAACCAAAACACTTCCTTTAGAGACAGTGTTCTTCCTCAATAAGTGGGTAAATAGCTAATTTGGCAGGGAAAAAATGCGGTTCTCCGATTCACGCGTGGAAAAAAAACGTGTAGAGGCCAAGGTCGGTGTTAAGTGCATCGCACTCGGGCCCCTTAAGTGGAGCCCCCGGTGCGTCGTACTTTGGACGGACTCCTTTAATCATCTTTCGGGGCCCCCCGGCCCTGACGGGAGGCAAACGGTAGCCGGGTTCGGAGGCGCTAACTACTGTTATTGCCCGGTTTCGGATAATCGTACCAGTTCCGGTAGATTTCGTGACCTCCTAACGATAATTAAATAATTGGATAATGAAGATTAATAAGCGTTGGGTAAAGCGCAGCCGGTTAAAGAGTTCGGCGTTAAAGAGTGGAAGAGGATACGATAAGGAGGAAGGAGACAAATTAATTTTCTCGTCTTAATTAATCAGCGGAGATCGTCCGACGCACTTTAAGCAAGAAGAGGAGAAAGGGGCTAAGAATTTACCTTTAATTGTCGGTGTGTCTTACGAAAAGGTTTATCGAGCGGAGGGAAAGTGGCCGCAGACAGGTACTCTAGCGAATAAATCGGCGCTAGAGTCGGATAGGGGCCCGCTGCGGAGCTACATCCACCTGCCGATGCAGTGGCGGCACGCGAGGTCACAAGTAGCTTGCCGTGCCACGCACCAGCTGGAGCCTCGCCGCTCGCATCTGCCGCGCAGCATCTATCTCTGCCCCCTATTTCCTCGCGCGTCCTTTTTACCTGGTCTCCCCAAAGTCCCCGCCTTGGCTGCCGGGTATGACTGCGAGAAGCTCGCTTTCGGGGTGGGGCCACGCGTGCCAATCACCGGCTAGGTATACACCGACGACGACGGAGGGCTTAGATAGTCGTTACTTGGATCCCTGGCTTAGAAGGTTCCACGTTTAACCTGCAGGGATATCATGCACGTCACGTGATCATGGAAACTTGCGTTCTCATCCCTCCCGAATTTAGCCTGGTGCTGACTACGGACACCAATTCGAACCGTCTTTACGAGATGGGTGTCAGGGTGTGGAGTAATCAAGCCATCGCCAAGGGTTCCAGATTCCGTCCGTCCCAAGGAACCATCCGGTTAGACAAGTTGGAGGTCTACAGCCTGCTGAATGATAATGACGTGAGTATGGTCTGTCGGTAGCTTAGCCGCTCGAGTGTTAATAGCCACTTTGATGGCTTTCTGGTTTTGCTTTACTTTCTGACCGAGACGAGAGCGCGACCCGGGCCATTCTTCTGCATCGTCCCACTCGCTTTCGTATTCTTCGACACGTTGGCCGGGCCTAAACGCAGCAACAAAATGAGAACGGGGCTTTTTAAACGCTTCCTTCATTCTTCGGATGTTTCACTTCTCGAACGCGCCTCTCAATTAACCTTAGATTCGGGAGGTTCTCTTCCAAGTTAATCGCGCTATTAAAATTTTAAATGGGCGCTGTAAAAATACCGCTAACAACAATCTATTCACGCGTTATTATAAACGACATAATAGGATCTCAACAAAGGAGCGGAGAATGCACGTGACTTTAACCAATACGGAACTATTACTGTGTTTTTAATATTTGAACCGTCCGAGGGGGATTTCGACAGGGGTAATCTGTTCCGGTTAGTGCGGGTGACACCTGTCCCGACACGACTATAACAGATTTCGTCTGCCGATTGCGGGGGATGACAGACGGTGGTCGGAAGATGAATCATGTCACCACGCTCTGGTTAAGATTTTAACAATCGCGTTTATAGCCGCGAAGGACACCGGTTCTCCATTTGTATATCACATCCTCGTCTTACCCAGAAATTATATTCCCGTAACATTACGCTGGTGGTATCTACTGGTTTCTTCACTGTTACCGATTGTTCAGCTTACACAACTGCAACTACCCATTATTATTATAATTTTCGAAAAGGCCAATGTTAAATTCATTTCAAGGTTGGCCTTTCGTTAACACGTGGACTAATGTTTAAATTCAGTAATGGAATTGTTCATGGTAAATCGTGGGCAAAACGATTCGAAGAAAAATTATTTAATTGGATTGTTAATCTTTCTTCTATCCTGTTATTTAAATTGCCATCTATCTTAAGTAATAATAGGCAAGAAATGTGAGTATAAAAGAAAAAAATATCAAAAATGACAAACGAAGAAGGATGAAATCTTGAAAAAATGGAAGTGCATCGCGTTCATTTATTATGTCTCTAAGTAATAATAATCGCTATCCAATGTAATTTTTCCTATTAAATCTTACTTGGTCTGTACGAAGATTTAACAGGAAAGAAATGCTGCTAAATTCTATGTGATGTATGCATTTAAGCATCATAAACGACAGTGAAGATGACCAAGAGTGGCGATGTGTCGGAAGTGCCAACCTCCACATTCCGATTTCCAATTAAATCGGCACACTCATCGGACTATTATTAATCGGCAAGGTTGTCTGTCCGTAATGGTCCGATTGTACTCATTCTATCAACATTACATCCTTCTAAACACCAACGAGACATGTACAGCCCGCAGCACTAGGTCACAGGCATCATCTATATTCTCGGAGCGCCCATCATATGGTACATTGTATACACATTGTATATACATAGTACGAACACTAGGAAAGGCGTATCCCGAGTGGGCATAGTCCATCCGACTTTCACCATAATTATACATTAGCGCTCCTTTTCTGCACTTGTTGGCTATGACACAGTTCGTTAATAAAGTAGATAAGTGGAGGGGGTTCGTTATGAATGAAAATTGTTCGGTCCCATTTCACGGACAACTGACCAGAATGCTGCGGTGTCCTTACGTGATGTGGATGCATTGCTTGTAATTATCAAGGCAGAACAAAAGTCGATTTCTTCCATATAAGCAAAAACTTGACGAAGGTCTGTTAAAAAGAGGTCAAGACAATTTATAAATTAAATAATGTGAGAACGCTTTTGTTATTAATTGAGCATAAACTGGTTCCGATGCTAAGGACTTGCGGCTCCGATCCTTCGCTTCCGAGTTCTCCAAATTTTCATGCCAATGGTTCAAGGTTTGACAGAGGAAAAAAATGATACATTTTGAATACTTTGATACATATCAATTATAATTAATAACGTGTAAAGTCAAATGTTATCTAAAAGTAGTCCGACTCTGGTATCAACGTTTCATTTTCAATTCTTCTTTATATAAAATTGGTATGTGGAAATTTTCGTTTTCGATAAAGACAATAGAGAAAAATTCGTAAAATTTCCTACTTATTTTGAGTGGAAATCTTAATAAAATAAAATCAGATGTCCTCGAAAGAATCTCTCTTATGAAAAACTGGATTTTTAAACATTTTATCAGAGCTATTTCACGTTTTGTATGGTTCATTAGCAAGAAGTAATTTTTAATATTTCTGTCATGTAACGACAAAGAATAGAAATAACAAATTACTACGTGAGGGAGAGGAACTTCTCTACAGCGATAATTGTTCCAGTTTTGTTCGAATTATTGTTGGAGGACGTTTTTCTTCAATGAGTTAAGACCGTTTTGGAATTTTTCATCCTTGACTCTTACAAGGAACCGAGAGTAAATCACAAACTTATTTTCAATATTTGACAAGAAGCTTCTTATATAGGACGATTTTTTTGTCAATGAAACGTGCTGGCAGCGGGAGACATTCATAAACATTCCTCTGTCATCTTAACGGTTGCCTATAGGCAATTTACAGATAACCCATAGGTCACGACTGAGTGGCGCAAAAAGTAGCTGCATTGCTCGATACGTTCCTCTTCTGTCCCAAGGCTCCGATTGGAATTATAACATCCTCCGGGTTTTATTCCGGACCGGGTCTCATTTAGGAAGCGAACTTCACTCCCATTTCACAGTTAAGTAATAGAGGAAAAAAGGGGGGGAGAATTTCGTTAGGCCATTTCAATGGATATCCGTAATTTATTCAATCAAAAAAGTTGCATCTTAATTAGGAAGAAGCGTTAAAATAATTGTAATGAGGAATAGAAAGGAGTTAGATTCGTCCGTTGAGGCACTCTCCTAGCCTGACAATGCTCTTGATTGCTTTTTCTTAGACATCAGCTAAGAATTAATCTAATGCAATCTTCCATCGGGGTTTAGCTAACAGCGATAAGTTGTTCGTAGGTGATTTTCCATTCATCGATGACATGGCCTACTCGATCGTTAGGCTAGCTTTATTAGAAAGTCTTTCTCAACCTGTTCTTAACCATTCTCCTTCACGTTTTCTTTTTTAATCCCATCAATCTTCGCAGTCCTATTATTACTTTTTCCAACTGCCCAATCATAATTATTATTCCCTTATCGGAAAGTGGTTGTCAATCAATGACGTTACAAATCAATACATTAAACATTACTCCGGGGTTAATAAAATTTGTATATTATCTAATAATATCACCAGTAATTAATTTACTACAGATAAAATTTGGATAATTGTTTCGCGGCTCTATCCGAGAGGCCATTTTTTTTAAATATTCGTTGAATGAAAAAAAAATCACCAATAAATGAGCCAATTTCAAATATTTTGTAGATACGGCATCATTTCGGTTGCTACGACGAAATTCAAGAGGTCGAAGATCGTAAGGTGAGACACTGCAACTGGATAAGGTTCCTGCGTTATTCGTGTACGTTAAACAACGAAGTCAACTTGATAGGTTATAGGATATTTAATGAGAATAGTTATGAGGTGATCCGTCATGTGGCACCGAATACCGAAATGGTGGTCTATTACGGGGATATCAGAGATCAGGCCATCAGTCCGAAACCTTTGACCTCGACTCCTTTGAACTGCAATAAAAACCTATGGAGGAAGACTATTGAAGGTAAAGTTGTGTTTTTCATTACTTTTGTCGCTTAATTAACACTTCATCTAATTATTTCTTTGGAATAAAAAAAAACTGACAAGGAACTGTAGCAGTAAAATGGGAAATTTTAATCTTAAACACGTAAATACTTTTCGTGAGAAAGTTTAATACATTTAGTTCCATTATGTCTCCTGGCATTAAGACAACTATAACAAGTGCCAATGCGAATCTAACAGATAATCAAAATCTCGTAAGGCAATAAAAAAAACCTGCAAGGGAGTCTCGCAGCTAGACTTCCTGTGGGCCTCATATTAATCAGCGCAACGGGGGCTTACCCCGCTTAATCTTCTTCTATTCAATATATTTAGACAGCTTTTCCAAGCAATATCTAACTTCACGAAGGGCTTAATTTATGGTATAAACCTGGGAAGTTCTGCGACCATGCCGACACCCGTTTGGTCATCACGTAAGATAGTTTAAGTACTGCTATTGTTTACCTTGATTGATCACTTAGTCGGCCTACGGACGTCTTACTCTACTTTTTACCGAAAATCTACCGGACACAATCTCTTTCCTCTTCCAACTCAAGTTTACTAACTAATCCCTTTTAGGTCACTTAATTGCCGATCTCGAGCAACAATACACGTTGAAGCGTGGTCATAAAAAAAAAAATTAACATTCTAATTAACAGGCGAGATGGATGATTGTTCTCTGTAGGAAAATTATTGAGGAAGAAAACTAAGCATTTGACAGTTTAATTTACTAACGACCGCATTCGCATAATAGGGTTTTTTTTTTTTCTTTTCTTATTTTTCTCTTACAGATAGTCCGTTGGATCTGTCCATGTCTCTAGTCTCTTCGCCCTCTCTCAATCAAGAGAATCGAAAAAATTGCTCATACGAATCTCGTTCAAACAGCGAAGCAGACTCTTTTGTTACTTCCACTGAGAATTTGCAGGTAGGTTTGGGAGTATCAATTTCAATTTTAAATATAAAAGTTTGATCCGATTGATATGTAAGGATCTTGTAAATCTTCTAAATTAATGAAGATATATTTAAACGCGGCTTTAAAAAAAAATAACTGTATTCAGTAAATAAATATCGTATAAAAGCATTAAATGAATTTTAGAGAATAAGAATTATATTTAGACTTGAATACAATGGATTAAAAACGAAAAAAGTAAAAATTAAACGTTACTTTTGCTACATTTTCGTTTATTTAACAGCACAAAAACTAAGACGAAAGAATATTTTAGCATAAAAATCGTAAAATTAAAGAGAATTAAACTATAATTATTGTATTGGAGCTCAGTTAAATTATTTATAAGGCATTTAAAAGATGTTTAGATCGAAATAAAACAATGTTATATAACACGAAGTAATTCTGGCCTTAAGTTCAGACTTATATCCTTTCGTATTTAAAAATAACAATCTAAAACAAAAGAAAAACAGCAATAATAATTGAATATTATTCTATAGTTACTAAATATGGGAAGTATAATTCTATTTATATTCTATAAAAAAAAAAAAAGATCAAGTCTATGAGAACTAAACTTTGTAAATACATTATCCTAATTTTTCTCATTGGTTTAAAAATGTCAAATCTTCCTATAACAGGTTATACGATTATTATTATAACTGAGAAAAACGTAACCCAACTAGAAGTAGCAGACAAGAATAACTAAATTTAAATCACTTCTCTATAAAATATAGGACTGAATAAATTAGAGAAAAAAAAATTAATTTGGGAAAAATGATCATTAATTTGGATTGATATCTGGTCATAGATCGAGTTAAATCAAGCAGACCTAATAACTATAGGTGGCTATATTTATTGTTCGATGATCATATATCATGGAATATCTCTCCCAACCTTCGACTGCATAATTAATCTTCTCGATATTATCTATAACATTCGCGGCCTTCTCTACTTAAAACCATGATTTTATAATTACAGATTAGATACCTTAACGGGCTTTTAAATTCTGTATATACATAATATAAACTTTCACACGAACAATGACGATGTTCTTAATTTATCCAGGTCCTGACTCCTGTTCAAGTTACAAAGAAACCACGAGAAAGAACCTTGTTACCTTGCGAATATTGCGGGAAGACATTCGACCGTCCTTCTCTTCTCAGGAGACATATGAGGACTCACACTGGTATATTTAATGTTTTAATTGTTTACTTTCTCATTATATTAATTAAAGGGTAAAAAAATACGTTTAATAAAGGAAGAGGTTCGAAACTGAATTGAGTGAATTACGATAGACAAAAGGTAGTTAGACTTACATTAAGTGTTTAGACAATACTTGTATCTAGTGATTAAATTCATAACCTATGTAAACTTAATTACCTGTAGGTGTGAGGTTGTACAATACATAAAAGAACATTGAATTAGAGCCAAAGTATTTTAGATATAGATCTTTAAAATACTGTAAAGTAGTTTCCGAGCGTCGTAAATTATAGTGTGCAAAATTAATGAATAGAAAAATATCAGTTACTTAAACAGCTTTTTATACAGTCTACGAAAGGGACTGTATACAAATTATATAGAAAAATTTCTAGTGGGGGTAGTTTATTAAACCAGGAAGTGCATTATTATAGAATTTATAAAATACAAGATTACAAGCGAAACTATCAATTCAATTCGTGTTCCATCATCTAAAATTTTCCTCCATAAATTCTGCTGTGAGAGTGATCGCTTTCGCGTTGAAAAGGTTATAAAAAAAAACGAAAAATACGTGAAAGAATTTCGAGTAAAAACCCTGAATTATGGCGATTTAACCCTCTCTTCGATTTTTACGTCAGAAGAAATCATCATCTGTAGTCACATTTACTTTTTTTCGACGGAATAAAATAGATAATCGGGTGCAAAAAGTGACAAATGCTGTCGACCCGATAGTCACATGATTGATCGTCAAGGTGTGGTCAGTCCTCTTTCCCATGGCAGTCCATCTCGAATATTTCAGCGCCGGGAGGAGAAAAAATCCCTAACTAGGCGCGAGACTTGGTATGCAACTTATGACTATATTTTAGGATCGCAGTCACGAAACGGGACAGAGATAAACTGTCATCTCGCTCTTCACTCCGGACGTCACTCTCTACGACATTCCGTTAAGTCGGGGGAGGCTACCAATTTCTGTGGAAGATTAAAACAATGTATTGTAATATTATGATGGATTTGCCTTTATCAGATGACATATCTAATGAGGTCATTCTTATTGTAGTGTTATATAGAACAGAGCTATAATCTTTTTTTTTTTTTTATTTTCTTTTAAATATGCACGCGAGGGTCTTCCTCGTCGTTTGCTAAAATATAAAATGTATGAAAAATTATATTTAAAATAGTTAAATATTTTCCTTTATTGTATAAATAGTGGTGGGAAATTTAGAACAGGAACTGCTCCGGCTCATTTGAATTCATATCGCTTACTTTTTATTATATGATCTATTCTGGATCGATCTACAGGGAATTTTTAATCCTTACTTCTTCGGTTTCCAAGATTTTTAATCTATTATTATTATTATTTCTGGAACGATCATTTAATTTAATATAGGTCTTCGGGAATGAGTTCATTTTTTAATTTCCTGAATGCTTAGTTTTAGAATTCTGAATACCTCTTTTAGATGATAAAGAAATGTTTTTAAAAATCTATTTAATCTTTAATTCACATTCTTTCATATCTTTTTATACCTTTTGTTTTATATTTTCTTCTTCTTTTGAAACGTCTGCGGTTTTAATTTTATGTATGTATACCTCTCTTTTTATTATTTCATAGACATAGAATGAGGGCATTACATTTTTATATATGTTATTCTAGAGTAAGAATACATTCAATTTTGATGACAGGATTGTTTTCTAATTTTAAATATGCTATTCTAAGAGTTAATCGAGTTCAAATCATTTTATATGAAGTTAGAATTACATTAATCTTAATTTCAATTCTTCTTATTGTCTTTTCTTTCGATTTAAATAAAATAGACAGATTTCGCTTTAGTCCATTCGGAATTTTTCGTTCCCTTTACGTTAGTTTCACTCTTTTATTGTTTAACAGAGGATCGAACTTCATTTTGTAGGAGAGAAATCAGAGTTAGTTTCCATTTTTAATATAAAAATAACGTTATAAGAGAGTAAGATCTGTGTTCATTTTCATTATCCACTTTTAAGTAACAAGTCTATCTTCAATTAACAATTTCACTAATTCAGAATTAAAAGAAAAGATTACACGTCCACATAATATCCAATTAAATCATTATTATAAAAACATTTTAATCAAATCTGAACTTTAGTTTTATTCTTGCTTTAGTTAATATTTTTTTTTTTAAAGTGTATTTTTATAATTGAGGCTATTTAAATACAAAGCTAATAAGTTATTCCGGGCGCATCATCGCAGAGGGGTGATGATCAAAGATGAAGCAGTTACGCTTGTTAACAAAATGGAAGCACGTCTCTGCTGCAATCAATTATAGCTTCTTCTGTAACTTATCTGACAGGTGAGAAGCCACACGTGTGTGACGTGTGTGGGAAGGGGTTCTCCACCTCCAGTTCATTGAACACCCACCGCAGGATCCACTCCGGAGAGAAACCTCACCAGTGTCCTATATGTGGTAAAAGATTCACTGCCAGCTCTAACCTCTACTACCACCGCATGACCCACAACAAGGTAAATATTATACTGACAAGGTAACATGATAGATATTCATCTACTCGCACCAATATGCGAATGTAATCTCGCTCTTCCTCTCCGAGATAAGATTACGAGAACGTTTCTCTTGTAATTTCGCATATTTTATTTTATTTAATTATACTCTTTGAATTTATAATTTACGAGCATCTTCTGGAGATTTCCTAATATAGTCAAAAAGGTAAACTTAAACCGAGACGTGCTTTTTTTTTTTAAAGTGATTTCTCCCGTACGGAATATTAGGACAACGCATAGATTATTATTTTGTATAGGATCAACCACCGAAGATAAATCGATTAATCTTGTCGAAGGGTTTTTTGTAATGCAATACTGTGAATTTCCTCTTCCTTCTATTCACAATTCAATAGGTAATTACAGTGCTAATTTTTAATGCTTTTATTAAGTTACAGTATCACTGGATGTTTTAACTAAAATACTTTAAAGTAATCAATTCGAAATACATAAAATGCTAAGAAACGTTCCTTACAATAAATTTACAAGTATTTATCGTGTATGAAATTAAACGTTATTTACAATCGAATAAGTACAACTGTAAACATCCGCCTAACTTAAAAAGGTGTCCTTTCCAATCCATCAAAAATCCACATCGTTTCTCCTTTGTAGTCGTCATTTAGAGGTGGCAAAGGTCGTGATAACTCCACCCCGCTTATTGTCGAACCACAACATATAACGAGACCTTCCGTTTGCAACCGTGACTAACTCGTCCCTCTTGACCACTTACCCTCCTCGCTTCATTAATTCGATATCCAGCTCGGCAGTGAGTACGAAAGGGGGGAGGAGAAAAAAAAAGATTCGATGGATTAAAAGACCGGGACCAAAACATCCTGCAAAGTTCACAAATTTTTTCTTCTTCTTCTTCTTCCTTAGCCGGATAGTTTCTTCCTTGTTTATAGCCGATCCCCAGGGCAAGAGGGTGAGTTAAAGGAGCAGTGAGGCACTAAAATTGATTGATTAGTTACCTGTAAGTAAGTCGGGTGACAGTAACGTCCTTCGCTTTTCTCCAGAAGTTCTCGAAACTTGAATCATTTTCGAACAAATAAGCCAATGGACGATGATGACGACAGAACATTCTTTTTTTTTTCTTTTTTCCTCAAGGAAAAACCGCATAAATGTAGCTTATGCTCGAAATCTTTTCCCACCCCGGGTGATCTGAAGAGTCACATGTATGTACATAATGGATCGTGGCCATACAAGTGCCACATATGCAACAGAGGTTTTAGCAAACAGACTAATTTAAAAAACCATCTATTTCTCCATTCTGGTAAGAATCATAAGATTGTATGTAATACGTTTGATTAATGGTCGAAAAAAAAAAAACTGACGGTAATCTTCTAAATCTGCAGGTGATCGTCCCCACGTTTGTGAAGTATGCAATAAACGTTTTGCTCTAGCATGCAATCTAAGGGCGCACCAACGACTACACGAAGGTATGAATTTCTCTTAAGTATAATTTTTAAAAGTTTAAAGACCCGTATTAAAGAGAGTCGTGACAATTTAAATTCATAAACCGTAAACAATTTGAATAACCATCTTAAACGGTGTTAAATTTCTAGATTAAAAAAAATATATTTGAATTATTAAAGAATAAATAATTGAAAGTTCTTTAAAACAAACAAACAAAAAAAAAAGGATTTAAATTAGCTCTTCCTTGACAATAGTTAGTTATATTATAAGTGATCCCAATCGAAAATAAGCAGGACGCGTATCACCACACCCGAATATTGGTTAAATCAGAATGATGTCATGTGAGACCTTAATAAGCGGTTGTGCCATGTTCTACTATCTATATATGATCGAATGATACATAAAGAAAAAAAACAACTTTCCCCAAAAAGGCCTCATGTAGAACCTTTATTTTCGACGCCTAATGACAATGTTCCACTAACCTCGGAATACACGTTACCTCTTGTCCTACAAGATAAATAATTATTTAAGGTCGGAAAGAATATTTAAAAATTCTTAATTAATGAAAAAACCATTTACTTTTTTTTATAATTGGTTAGAATTACAACAGGAGAAATGCCAGAAGTGCGGAAGGGAATTCCCGAATTCTAGCGGTTTGCTGACTTACGGATGCTGCAATGCCTGTTACCATAACAACAACGGGATTGCTCTAGTGAGGAACGGACACGATAAATATCCTAAGACACCCACGTGATCATGCTAAGGGGGCATGTCGCTAGGAAACCAAAGATGCCCAGTCAAAAGCCGTCCAGAAGAAAATTTGTTAATTTGGAAGAGAATTTCGTGTACAGTTTTGTATTAAAAAATTATATAAATAAATAAATATATATATATATTATATATAAATAAAATATATTTTTCGAGCACTAAATAAATAATATCTATAATATGCGAAGCACAATATTATTTACAAAACATTAATTTTTTTGTAATTTTTATGATTATTAATAAAGGTTGTAATTATTTTTATAAAGGAATTTATTGTATGGATTATTATTTTATTATTAGTGTTATAAAATGTCCGAAAATTCATAGTTTAAATAAGCTTGAAGGCAAACTAAACTCGAGCAGTTGATACTTTTAAGCTTAGAAAATGATATTTAAATTTGTCACTGCCATTTTAAATCATTTTTATTTTCTTATAAGATTATGATAAATGTTTAAAAATTTTACATATAAAAAATAGCTTTTCAAGTTTGTATCTTCTAGTAAACGAATGGATAAATCATGTTCGGGAGAGTGCTTTGAATAAATAATGGAAAAAAGAAAAATGACAACAAAGTTATCAATATGTTAATTTTAAAATTTGGCGAGTTCCGTTGAGAAGAGAGGGAAGGGGAAAAAAAATTAGTTAAGTGTCGATCGGTATAAAGTGTAGCATTATAGTAGGTCACAAGCACCTGGCATAGCCTAAACAACAGTGGGCCTCAATGGCAACGACCGTCTTTGCAAGGATAGCAGTCTGGATTAGGGTGGAGAAGGTTGTGTGAGAGGCGAACATTATCATAGACACTTTTTTCTATTTCTGACGGAGGACGGCTATTATCGATGATCGGATGAGAGAATGGACTCTCCTCCCTCGGGTCTAGAGGTTTATGCTTCGACCGTGTCAATATTACGCTTTAATTTATGACTGCCAATGTATTAAAACTGCATAAGTGAGGCAGATGAGAGCGAGGATGTTGACCCGACTTCGGACAGCTGCTGCAATTTCTTTTATAATTAACTAGAAAACAAGTCGATTGTTATGGTCAAGGACTATTCGAATTAATATTCGCCAGACTTTTTGCCATTATGCCCTTCCGTTCTCTTAGATTAGCCCACACTAGTGTCTTATGCTTCATCTACTATTAAATTACTCTCGTTTAACTACCAGAGACGTCCAAGTATGTTTAAAGAATGAATTCTTTACAATTTACTGAATAATTTAATCTTTATTTAATATTTATCATTCTCTTTATATTTGTTTTCTCACTTCATTACATCTCCCGTTCTCGATTATTTATCATTCCTGATGTCAGCTTATCTTATTTTTCTTCTTTCATTTACTTATTATTCTTCACATACCCAGCTGTTCTTTATCATTCCCCTTTTTTTTATTTTATATCTTTCTAGTTTGTTATTAGTGTTGGTGTTGGCTACACGACCGTTTTTACATATTTCTGTTTCTTAAAACTGCACCCATTCTACTTCGCAGCGGTCTTCTTTCACGCAGGGAGACCAAAATATGTTAGAATAAACGATATTACCGGCAGTAAATATGACCGGGTGATGATAAAGTATCGTCGCATTAAAGTCGTGATGGTCACATATTGTATGACGCACAATTCATACAGGTAGACGACGGGCTGAGATAACGAGGTTATATTTTGGTGGAAAATGTGCCTACACCTAAATCGAGCCCCAGTAGTGGCTCAATCAAAGGTCATAAATATTAAACCGCCGTATATGTACACATCACTCTTTTCCATCTAGGAAAAACGTCACACCTTAAAAAACAGGAAAGTGTTACGTTCAGTTCCTGGTGGAAATTTTCAAACTGTTACAAAATAATACTGACCACCGGAATGGCTCCATATTTAGGACAGATTTTACGGTTGATGTACTTTAAGTAACTCGAAACTATTGATTTACTAACTTTCTGATAGGTCTGTGACAGTTCTATAGAGGAAGCCTAGATTTCTGGAATAATTATGAGATGAAAGTATTACAAAATGAAACAATAGGATGAAGTAGAACAAAGTAGGTTTTCTCGGAAGAAATTTTGGAGAAGGAAGGAATTACTAAGTCTAAAACGTGTTTTAGAACTTTCGTATTTATAGATGTATTCTCATCTCTCGTCTAAGCCAATTACAATTCAAAAATGTAATACTCTATGTCCTTTATGCGACTCGAAAGCTATAAAACGACGAAATGTGAATTAGGATGATTTACGTAGTTAATCCTTTTAACTATGTAAATCCATCGCAAGGAAGAAATCATCCACAAACTGAAAGATAATGTTCTTTGGATCATTAACAACGAATAATAATTCATTTATGTTCAGAGTAGTTTATCATTTAACCTAACGCAAGCATACACGTACAAATAATGCTAAGTTATTTCCTATATCAGACCTTATATCTAGCTAAAAAAATCTGTTAACTTTTTACAAGAAGCAACAAGCTAACTAACGTCTTATTTCGTAAACAACAGAGAATCATTAAAGTTTTTCACTCCACTACTACCAGTAAGAGAACACATCATCGGTAGTATGAGCCGTTTTGTCGAAACAAAGCAACGCACCCAACCCCTATCAAATAACATAGATTAACACCCGACAAGAGAACAAAACAGTCGCATCAACAGTGTGTAAATGGCCGTTTTCCCCTAATACCGTAGACACAACGGTTATTTTTCGTTAGTGATGATAACTTGGACTGCAGGTGGTTTCAGTCAACCCTGTGGGTTTCTGACCTGGTGTCTTAATAGCACCTCGCTGCCAAAGATCCGGCAATCCATGACTGGGCGGCAGCAAACAGCCAGGTAAGAGCCGCGAGTCACACAAGCACCTGCACGGTGATTGTCTATGTGACACATGGGTATTAATGTCTTTAGGAAATCTGATACTGACGAAACAAAACGCCAGACCAGCTACTTTATTCCATTTCCAGTGTCGTATCAGACCGAACTTTCTCTTTCATTTATCATCTTATTTGTCTTATCTTAATGTCCAAAACCATATTCACAGAGGACACGAGTTTCTGGATTTTTAGTTTTTATGTCTTCTTTCCTACTCTTGTTAAAAAATATAATAAAAAACGATTCAGGTGTCGATTCGTTCGAATTACTTCGGCAGATGGTAGAAGCTTTGACAATTGACGAAGTCGTGTGTTGTCTTTTTTTTTTTATTTTTGACACTTTTTTGGAAGTTGCCATAAATAGTATTCTCGATAACATGTGATTTTGTGTTTCTTTTTTTTTCCTTTCCTTCCTCGATTGTTTTCGAGCAACAAATAAACCTGTTGCATGGACCATTTCTTTAACAAAGAACTCGAATATCCATGTGGTTTGCAATTTTCTTAGAGGACCCGTGAAATAATTTATAGTTAGAATAATTACAAAGGCGGTTATTATTCTCGAGAGAATCGACTTCGTAAATGAGTTAGTGTGTTGGCATTTGTTATACTTTATAGAGAGAATATTTACGTGAACCTTCTTCGAGGAGGAACCCAATATACATAAAAGTTAATAATAATAATAATAATGGAGTGAATCCGGAAAAAACTTTTTCTATTTCGTCGTGTTCTCTGATCCATCACAGACATGAACTAACATAATTTATCTAAATATCGAGGTGGATTGACTTTAGAGAGTGTAGCCGGAAGGTCTGAGGGATCGGCCATCTGTGGCACGCAATTCTTTAGAAAATAACTGAGAAATCAAACGTTGCCTCATAGTATACTAGAATGCCTTCGGGTTGTTTGTCGCTGGTGCTTATTTAATCCTATTTATACTTGGAAAAGGAAATAAAGTATTCGCTAAAGGACTTATGTAACTTTATTTCTCGACGGAAGTTCTTCTAAGCGCTAAGAGATTAAACGATTACAATTATGCTCCAACCCGTTTAATGACTGCAAATTCGTATTTTAGCGGACTTTATCGTACTTTTTAATCTTGAAACATTGTAATTCAGGTCAAAGCAGCTTATTTAGTTAAAAGTCATGTGACGGCGATTCTTAAATGCCTCGTTTCTTGTTTACTTTCTACATTGTAAAAATTTTTATCGGCCAAAATTAATAAAGAAAAATATAACAGCTGTAACTATTACTCATTATCGCGTTACCATCGCGAACAAATCGCTATAAAGTATTTAATTCAACCCTTTAGGCTCAACAAGTTTTAAAACTTAATAATTTCCTTCTGCTAATTGAATTTCAAAGGCTCACAATGGAACCAGTTCTATTTATTTATCATTAACCTATTTTAACTAAAGGCTATTTAAAAAGGCTAAATAGGAGATTTTTTAAATATATATATATACACATATAAATACATCTGGAAGAGATTTTAATGAAATATAATAAAAGTACAAAGTGTATAAAAAAAAGGGGGAAGCTTCTGTAAAGAAAATGCAATCTTTAAACTTCAAAAATTAAGTTTAAAACCGTAAATCTCGTTCTTCTATTGATTTATAATAGAATAATTAACGTTTTCTTTTTTAACTTTTGTATCTATTATAGTCATGTTTCAAAACTTAACAAAGTTTTATCGTTATGTGCGACATATGGCTGGTAGAAAACCCTTCAAATTTATAGCAGGTGTCGTTATTACACGAGTGAAGATATTTAGGACGTGACGCCAGTAAGATAGCCACTTTAACGAATCCCTATGTGGTCCGGTGGACAAAATTCACCTGCTTTACTTTTTCTCACGGACCTGCAGCATATTTTTAAATGTCCAGGAGGAAAAAAAAGACTAATTATTTGATTATTTAATGAAGTGGATCCGGGGTGCAATCGACCATCATTTGCATCTTTGCCAAAATATCATCTGAGGCGAGCAATTGTTGATGCGCGCTGTGTGAATCATACTTTAACTATTGGGTATAGAAATGAATTTCGTAAATTAGAGGCAGACTAGAGGATTACAGACAGAAATAAATTTTCTAATCGTTCTATAGTTTGGTAAAGGTAAAAGCGAGATTGTAACGCAGTGATTTGTTTCAAACGTATGCCTCGATTACCAAAACGCAGTCCTGCAACATCATTATGCAAATAAACCACATTAACATCTTTC